AATAGCTCCTGTATAAACACTCGTGCCGTTCTACCATCAAAGAAAAATTATAAATTGTTTTTTTTTTTTGGTTTGTGTTGATCAATGACTTGTAATTTCATATACATTGTCGAAATGTGGAGGAAGTAATGTATCCCTAATTTCTAAATCTTTTGTCAATATCAATCGGATAAAGAAAGTCCAGTATGATGGTTGATTAATTTGAGATGTTCTTTTTTTATGAAATTTGCAATGGTGGTTTGTTATTTGTTTTGTCTTGATGTAAAAATTTAGGAGTTGACTTTTTAATTAACAATCTTTACATTTTCAGATGCTGTGACTGTTTGATCTACTCACTTTACTTTAGATTGGTCATTTTGTGTGGTTTGACCTGTTACTTTAAGTTTTCTGATAATGTTTTTGAATCTGCACCAAAGGGTAGTGACAAGTTTTTGTTGTGCAAATTTTTTTTGTGGTTTAACAGATGCAATGTATGGAAGAGAGTGCGGATTACTCCGAATGTGATGATTAAGGTTCGGTAAAGGATGCAGAAAATATACGTAAGCTTTTACACTATARCATTCAGTTGAATAAGAAATACTCTATATTGTGATTGTTCTTTGAATTATTAGAAAAGGGTATGATGCAGATATTGGCTTTGTAAATGAAGTTGAATCTTTCCGAGGAGGACATAACGATCCCATATGTGTTTCTTTTGGAGATTCCCTTTTTCTTTGTTTACTTTTCCTCGCTTTTAGTAATTTAGATTCTGCATTGTTTCCTTTTTTTCCTCATTCTTTTTTTTTTCCTTGAATGAACATCTATCTGAGGGAAATACGTTATTTAATTTGCTCACGTCCTGTAATGACAAAATTCACAAATTGGATTATACAAGGAAGTTCTTCGTTCTCAATAACTAACTTATGATGTCTTGTCAACACTTTTCAYGTAGAACACATGCTAAATGACCGCTTGCTTCAGTACTTGAATGTTGATGTCCAGGAAGTTAAGATTTTGTGGCAAAATGGTCTTCCAAATAGAGCGACTAAGATCTGATTAMTACATTCGAAGGTTAAGTATCCAAATTAAGCAAAAGGCGGAATCAATAAGGTTTTGATTTCATTTGCAAACATTAGTCACAAGAACCAACCAAYTAACACTCACGTGTTTGTTTCTTCTATTCTTTTTTTCTCTTCAGTTTTTTTTAAATTACTACTTATTTTCTTTCTCCAATTCGTTATTTTACTTACAATTATAGTCTTCATACACTAACAAAGAAAATCTGCAACATATATTTATTTGTAATGACCCTGGACAATAACTAATGAATTTTTTTTATGGTTTATCTATATGATAGATAATATTGTGTGTATCTCTTTTACTTTTGTTTATTTTTTGAAGTTTAAACTTTCCAAAATTCTTAAATAGGGTCAAATTATACAGAGTTAAAAACGAATTGAATATAGCTTGTGCAACGCACGGGCCTGAACACTACAGTTTGTTATAATCCAGATGATTCTACTGTATGCAAACTTCTTGCATAGATCATTTAGATATTTCAGCTTCGATTTGTGATTTTTTTGCGCCAGGAAGTACTATGCTAATTCCTGGGTTTGAGTATTCAAAATAGAAAAAAATCGAACCAAACAAAAATAGAACAATATGGTTAGAATTCGGTTATGCTATATAAACCATATGGGTAGTTTTGTTGGAACCCATCGGAATTAGATATGGTTAAATTATTAACCTATTATACCAAAAATGATTAAACAAAAAATTCGATTATTTTTCTTATGTAGTAAATTGGTAATAGTAGTATTAGTATACTGTTAACCTCTGTTGATTGACTTTGTTAAACTTTACAACAAAACTAGAATACCAAACTAAAATAAATTGATATCCGAATTAAACATCTTCACTTGAATTAATAAAAGAA